GTGTAACTACTGGTGGCATACATTATAAGCAAAATAAATATAAGCTAGGTCATCAAGCTAGTTAAACCTGTTGCTGCCATGATTTGCAATATTACAGGTACAACTGGTCTTGCACAAAGTTATGAAATCAGTAAACTAGTTTTAGGCAACCCCTCCCCTCCACAAGTCCTTCAATGCCACCTCCTTCAATAACAACCATTTCTTGCTCCTCACAGGCTCTCTTCTTTAATTGTAACTCCTCATAATTCTAAAGTAAAAATGATCAGTAACAGCTTAAGAATTTGGGAAAGGGACATTGTATAAGGGATCAAGATCTTAAACTAGAAAAATATAAAAGTAACTATGGAAATTCTATTTGGGTGGAAGATGATATTTTAAAAGATGCCAAAGCTTCCATGATGCCCTGAGTAGCCCTTTGGGTAATATGGACGCTAGAAAGGATTTAGGGTTCTTAGTACTGAATGCCAATACTGTGACAACTTGGTTTAGATTTGAATCCTTTGGTTTTAAGATTCTACCAGTCTCTCAACTGCAACCAAATGATATAAAGTGGTGGGTGGGGGGGAAGATCGCTGCTAATAAAAGCAAATCATTAACAAAAATACTGTAAGAGGATTCTGTTTAGGTACTTTAAATTTTGAGGTCCCCCCGACAGAAGTGTTTTGTTTGATTTAGATGCAGTTCTGCCCAAAGAGAATAGATATCCTGATTGTACTACTCTGTGATTCTTTGAAAAGCCTTCTCCTTCTATATACTCTCTTATAAACCTACCAGAAAATCAAAACTACATCTTCTGCTGCCTACCTTAAGGGTTTAAAAACTTTGTTTCACAGAGTCCTTAAAAATAAATGTAATACCTCAGGGGAAAATAATAATAATAACAACAACAACAATGATCCCATATATATAATTTTAAATAGAAAATAAAGTTCTTGAAAATAATATCCTTACAAAAAATTCTAACATTAGTTTTTAAAAACACTTGCCTGGAAGCTTGCTAGTGTTCCTCAGAAAATTTCCAAGTGGCATGTGCTCCCTCAACATGGATCCAGGAGTACAGTGGTGCACAAGAAGAGCACTGAACTAAGAATAAAACAGATGGATTCTAACCCTGGTTCTGCCTTTTCTAACTCTGTGATTTGAAGCAAGTCCTCTTCACTTTCTGGGCTGTGGGACCCTCATCTATAAAATGGAAATAATCCATTTGTCCTACCCACCTCACAGGATTATTGTAAAAATCCAAAAACATACTGTATATCAAAGTGCTTTGAAAACTACAGAGTACTGCACAAAAATAACTTACTACTAAACATTTTCTAAAATTATTTTGTTTTATATATATAACTAATAACTACTGCTTTATATAGTTTCTATACTATTTACATTATATACATATATTTCATGATTTCAAAACATTTGAAAACCATCAGTCTAGTTAATATATCATATCCTTGTTATTCAAAATGCAGTCTATGGAACAACAGCATTGGTATCACCTAAAATCTGGTTAGAAACACAGACTCTCAGATACCAAGACTTACTGAATCTAGATCCATATTTTCACCAGAGCCCCACATATTCCTATGCACAGTAAGGTTTGAGAAGCACTGCTTTATATAACAATTCCACTTATAATAATAATTACATAAATAGGAAATTATTTTCAGAAAAGGTATTCAAATATACACATTTATCTCCAAAAATTTTAACAATGAACAACAGTTACTTAAGATCAGAAGCCATGTCTTACTCATTCTCATATTTCACTGTTATACAGCAGATAACATTTCTTGGGTAGAGGCCAAAAAAAAAAAGTATCAATAATTAATACAGAAGATAGGAATCAATGTACATTTACCCTTGCATAGAATATGGCCATTTAATATTAATTATTAAATACATATTCAGCATTTCTGGCATTAGCTTTAAAAAATGGAAGGAGTATTTAAAATTTTATATTTGAACATGGCCACACCCAAATGTATAAACAAGAGTGGTTAGGTTACATATGATATCCATTAAGCATCAAAAAAGACTGCAATCTTTTTGATGGAGAAGAAAACAATCATCCAACAATATAAAAGATGTCTAGTGAGACATGGTTCAGATTCTTGCTCTGGCACTTAGATTAAATTTTCAACAAACTACTTAATGTCTCTAGCCTCAACTTCATCATAATATTGGGATAATATTAGCATTTACCCTCACCGAGATAAAAGAAGTCACTTGAACCATCTAGTGTTACAGGAACAAATCATTATGCAAAACAAGAATTAATGTTTTAAAAAGTTAAAGTAAAATTTACCTTATCAAGTTTCAGTTCCAATTCTGCCACATCTCCTTCTACTTCTTCCAAAGCAGCCCTAGAAAAATTAAACATAAAGTAAGTTACTTTGTGTTTAAACATATACTTTACTCTTGAAAAATAATTCCAAGTAAAAAAATAGATAGGAATGCTAAAAAATTACACTTCACATAAAGTAATAACTCCCTTAGGACAAAGTATGAATACTTCATAACCATGTATTACAACACATAATACAATTATTGTTTAAGGTAATGAGAGAACACATTAGGCTAATTTACTCAACACATTCATGTTATTCAAATTAATAACACTAATTAGAACTATTAAGCATATATTTTTAAAAACAAGTAAGAAATTTTGAAAGTTGAGCCTTACAAAGACTCATATTTCTATTCAACAAAGCACATGTAACCAAACAGCAAAGCATCCTTGGCAACCAAAAATAAAGGCTTTTACTTTTAGAAACAGTTCAGAAAGATATTATGACCCTTGTTTAAGACCGCGTTTTGTTTCCTATGTATTTTTAAAGAAATCAGCAGATTCTCTTCCTTATCAGGGGAATGATAAAATTCTAACACTAAGTAGTACTTGATATGCCCTATAGGGCAACATTCCAAAATTGGAAATTTGGAACAAAACAGCAGCAACTAAAACTTTTTAAGGATAACAATATTTTATACTTAAGAGTAAAAAATGTTATTCATCTACTTTAAGCCATCTATCTATCCATTTTAAGATAACTACTTGATAAACTAGCAACTTTGCAATACCTGTTTTTTGAATCAACCGAAATTTGTTTCAATTGGGTAACAGTGGGGGACTAGCCACCCAAAAAGCTATTTTGAACTCTGGGCAAGAATTCTCAATTAGACACTGTTAAGAAGAGAAAAATAGCTAAGATATAAGCTCTATTCCCAAAACTACCCACGTAACCTCTGTGTGACCTCTTGAATACCACTTTTATCAGCTTGTGGTTCTACTTCTCTACCTGGTGACATTTATTGAAAAACATTTTTAATCTCCAAAATGAGAAAATTATGTAACCATAAATTATTCAGTAAAGAAATGCCGATTCCATAAAATGAGATACTCTAGCACAGTTAAGAAAACAAGAGGTGCTATACTTCCACAGCACAGAAAGAGAAATGCTTCTCCCCTAAGTAAGTTTGTCATTTTCTTCAGCAGTGTTTTCAAAGTACACATTGTTCCCTTAGCCTAGAAAACATTTCCCCTTCACATTAATCCTCATTCTCTTAACCTGCCTCTGTTACTCATCACTTAAAACTTAATTCACAAAAGAAAACAAATATATTAGTACAAGGATATCTATTTTTTGTAAATAGGTTTAAAACCTACATGTCCAGCAATGAGAAATAATGTAAATAAATGATGGTACTCCATCCTATTATGTGAAGCAGCAGGTTTTTAAATGAGATTAATCTGTCTCTACTGAGATGGAAACATATACATTACAGACCATCACAAGGGAGGAAAAGCAAGTTACAAAATTACATATAGTGTGAGCCCAGTTTTTTTTTGGGGGGGGGTGGAGTGGGGAGCCTATTCGTATATGCATAAGAAAAAATCTGGAAGCATATTTACCAATCTGCTAACTATAACTTTAAAGAATGGGGATCAGAGGACAGAAAGTGAAAATAAGGATTTACACTTCTAGATTGTTTTAATATTTTCAATGACTAAGTGTTTTTAAGTAATTTTTAAAGCTAATAAAGGGGGAAAAGAAATAAGTTCAGACATCACCTTCCTAGGAAGTGGGTCCTCTTGGAAGCTCTATCCCTGTCCACTTCTCTCACTAGTACGAGCTCCTGGTAGCAGTACAGAGACTCAAAATGTTTGCCGAGTCAAGAAAGAAACTCCACAATTTCAGAAACTTTCTCCATTTATACTTTTTTTGTTGTTGGCCGTGCTGCACGTCTTGCGGGATCTTAGTTCCCTGACCAGGGTTCGAACCCAGGCCCCCAGCAGTGGAAGCATGGAGTCCTAACCACTGGACCACCAGGGAATTCCCTCTCCATTTATAACCATTTAAAACCTCTCCATTTATACTTTTAACCTTCATTTAATTTAGCTTGACTCAATCTTCAAGTTCAAGAAAATTAGTTGAAACGATCAGCTTAAGGTTTGATTTAATCATTGGTGTCTACTAAACATATAGTTTAATAGAAACCTCATGTACATTCCTCAATCTTATTTCACTGTGCAATACTACGAATTTATTTGTGAAACACTTTTAAACACCTTTCTTTAAAGAGAGGTAAGAGGGACTTCCCTGGTGGTTTAGTGGTTAAGAATCCACCTTCTAAAACAGGGGACGCAGGTTCAATCCCTGGTAGAGGAGCTAAGATCCCACATGTTGTGGGGCATCTAAGCCCATGCACTCTAGAGCCCACGTGCCTCAACTACTGAGCCCGCACACTCTAGAGCCTGCCTGCACACCGCAACAAAGACCTGACGCAGCCAAATAAATAAATAAATATTTTTTAAAAAGAGAGAGGTAAGAGTTTGTGTATAAAATTAACAGGTAAAATGTGTTTTGCCTATCATTTCAAAATAAAGCTCACTGTAATCACATATTGAGAATCTGAAAATTTATCACAGAGGTTCTTCAATTCAACATTTCACCTTCTCTAAAAAAAATCTCTGTCCTTGGTCATCTAAGATATGTGTGAAAACTTGTAGCAATAAGTAAGTAGCTAGTGTCTAAAGCAGCCTGGTTAATTGTTGAATATTCCTTGGTATAAAAAGAAAAGTATATGGACAGAACATGGTCTCAGTTCAAATTCTGTCTCACCACTCACTTATCTAAGGCTAACGTATTTTATCTAAGTTTTTTCATCTGTAAACTGAGTAAACAAATACCTATTTAAGAGTTGTAAAGGTTAAATGAGGGACTGTACATGTCACTGACCACAGTATATATGTACTACAACACAAAGAACACAATCAATAGGAGTTTCTTTCTCTCCTTTCTCGTCCCTGCATTCTGAGGTGAGTTCTGCCTCCCTACTGCTTCTACTCATTATGCAAGACAACCATTCTGGAACACATTTTGAATACATAAATCAATAAGTAAAACAATCTACACAACAATCCTTCAAATAGTGAAAGACAGATATTACCCCTTTCCAACTCTCTCAAATATTTATTGAGCATATGGGCTTCCCTGGTGGCACAGTGGTTAAGAATCCACCTGCCAATGCAGGGGACACAGGTTTGAGCCCTGGTCCAGGAAGATCCCACATGCCACGGAGCAACTAAGCCCGTGTGCCAAAACTACTGAGCCTGCGCTCTAGAGCCCGTGAGCCACAACTAGGCCTGCACGCCTAGAGCCCGTGCTCCACCAGTGAGAAGCCTGCGCACCACAACGAAGAGTTGCCCTCACTCACCACAACTAGAGAAAAGACCACGCGCAGCAACAAAAACCGAATGCAGCCAAAAATTAAAAAAATATATTTATTTAAAAATATGTATTTATTGAGCATATAATTTTTATAAATGTGCAAGGCACTAAAGAGGACAATATTATAGACCCTACACTCCACAGCTTAAAATGTAATTAAAATTATTAAATTTTAAAAGTTACACACACATTAACAATGAAAGAAAACACGATTAAGTAGTAAAATAAGAATAATATAAAATAATGTTAAAAGATGGTAAAATAAAGGGCAAAAAACCAGAAAGCAGTCAGCTAAGTCTCACAGGATTATTATAAGCAGGGGTCAGCAAATGACAGCCTGTCAAGCAATCTGGCCTGTAACTTGCTTTCACATAGCCCATGAGCTAAAAATGGTTCTTGCATTTTTAAATGGCTGAAAAAAAAAAACAGAAAAATAATACTTAATGACCCATGAAAACCATGTTAAATTCAAATTCCAGTGTCCATAAATAAAGTTTTATGGAAACACGGTCAAGCTCATCCATTTACACATTGCCTATGTCAGCTCGCATGCCCTAGTGGCAGAGTTGAGTAGTTGGAAGAGAGACTGTATGGCCTACAAAGCTTAAAATATTTACTATTATCTGGTCCTTTATGGAAAAAGTTTACTGACTCCTTACTATGAATATCAAATACAAGAACATGGATGAAAACGCTTTTTCATACATGAGCTACATACAAGAAAATAATTTTTAGGACTCAGGTCTGGTTGGCTGTACCCTAAGAAATTGAATAAGCCCAGATTTCAGGGAAAAAGTCACTTTATTTTTTTAAATATTATTAAAGTATAGTTGACTTACAATGCTGTGTTAATTTCTGCTGTATAGCAAAGTGATTCAGTTACATATATATTCTTTTTCCTTTTCTTTTCCATTATGGTTTATCACAGGATATTGAATATAGTTCCCTGTGCTAGACAGTAGGACCTTTTTCTTAGGGTCACTTTATTTTTAATAATAACAACTTCATTCTTTTATCTATTCATGCATCACAGATCAACTCACAAAAGAGTTAACTAAAAATAAAAACATAAAACTAGAATAGGAAAAAATCTAGCAGCAAATACTAACACTGAAACATTTCTAATCACATGGTGATCGCTTTGGGCTGTGAATTAAATAAAGCTCTATGAAAAGCACAAACAAAGAACTCTCCCCACCCAGATAACTGCACAACCCTGGTGTAGAAATAAACATTTTTTTTGTTTTTGTTTTATTTTTTTATTGAAGTATAGCTGATTTACAATAAACTTTTTAAACCACTGCTTTTACAAGTTTATCCATAAGAATAACTAAATACTATGTATAACACGAGCATTACACTTTCTTTATAAAAGAAAATTATTTGAAAGAAACAGGAGGTATGATAAAGAATTATTCTACCCATCCATTTGAGATCCTTTAAAAAAAAACTTTCCACTTCAGCTTTGACAATATGCTTAAAATGGAATTGATAATATAAGACTAGGTCACATGATGATGCAATCTAAAACACAACTACAGGATACTCAAGATCACTTATTAAGCACATAAATATCCTCAAAGCATTAAAGATTGAGGCTCTGTCATAACTACCTCCCAAAGAATTATGAAAGA